TCCACGCATAGGGACTTTATACATAAACCCAAAAAGCTTGAACTCTGAGCCATGGTTACTTCTCAATTCTTTCCAAGGGCGACATTGCATTCGACCATGTCAGAATTCTTTTCCCGTAGTCTAACGACTATGTGAACTCCCCATGAATCGAACAAGCTCAAGGACCGTTGCATGATCGTCAGGTAAATCTGCTCCATCAGTTCAGAAGCAGCATTATCGTCTATAAACGCAAACACTCTGCTTGGAAGCACCTCTCAGCCGCTCGTCTCCAGACCATGGACGATTTCAGATACTCGGCCGTCAGACCAGTTGCGCAAGTGGTTACGACAATCACCTGGTTTTCCGGTCATACTGTACACCTTCAGGATCGCCAACCCAGGGCACCAACGTCGGTTCTTCGAGACCCAGGTGTAATGCGAGAGGATCTACCCAGTCCTGGCAAGATTGCACATGACTTCCTTACGCATCTGCCCCAAGTCCATATGCTCACCCCTCCCGAATTGGACAGGATTATGCCACCATGACGCACAAAGAAATCCATCGACTAAATTACACTAAAGGTACAGTCCGTCTAGTTTTTGTTTAGTTCTTTCTGCCATCTTTCCATCGCCCCAAGGCTCCGTTGCACAGTTTCTTGTCAAACGAGTACACAACAAAGCTCAATAAGCGCGGAAAATCTAATGGAAGGCTTGATCATCAGAAATCTCTATCCAAACCCTTGGCCGGCACAAGGTGTGGCTGACCAATCATGAGATGACGACCCGTCAGCCAGCCACCAACTTCAGCTGTCTTACTATTTATCGCCTAGTCACAAGACGCAATACTCTTCACAAAATATCTGGTCCATCCTTCATTAACGTTGATACAAGCCCGGAGTATGCGAAACAATTGTCAATCGCCTCCATGGTCAACGCACATAGTGGATCCATACTCCACTCAATTAGACTGTCTTTATCTGTTGTTCCTACCGGCGAGGATATCCTGCTTTCTTGGTCGTTTGGTCATAGTTCCATCAGAGTTCATTCTAACGTCTATGCCTCAGAAGCTCGAACCTTTTGTCCACATTTGGGTCTAGTTCCCGTGCTCCACAAGAACCATTTGATACACACGTCCCACATCAGAACCAACTGTAAGTTAGACCAGAAGACTGGAGATTTATCCATGTACTCATCATGATTAGTCGTATGATATCACCTCAGCACGTCGTCAGGGACAGTCCCTCACCTCAAAGCTCACGTTCTCCGACACTATCTTCGCCTACCAGCCCGCCGCATGCTAATCGACGCCGGCGCCATAAATCTGACCCGCCAACTAATAGAACGGATCCAATTATCGGCCAAGTAACCCTGTCAGGCAAATTCAAGTGTCTTAAGGAAACCTGTCTTAATAATGGGGAAGACATGACATTCAACCGACATGCTGACTTCAAACGTCACTACGACAACACGCATGCAGGTCGCTGTGTTGAATACTTTTGTCAAGAGCCTGGGTGTCCACGCTCAAGAAATCCAGAAGGGGGCAAGAAGGGACGAGGTTTCAAAGGGAGGAAGGACAAACGAAATGAGCACTATAAAGCAGTGCATCAAAAAGAGAGCAAGAAGCGAAAGCATGTGTATGAGAGTGATGAATATGCTGAAGGACGGGGTTATGAGGACAACACAGGAGCCAGACCATTGAAGGTAAGGCAAAGGAGCGACACATCGTAAAGTTGTATTACCGTTCATCTATACTTCGTTTTGGTTGGTTTGGATGGCTACACCTTCTTATACCGCTTGTTGAAGTGTTGTGAAGGGGTTGAGTGTCTGGGATCGTACTACTGTTGTTTTGTACCTGGGCTCATGGCTTGGTTTGCTTGATTTACTTTACTTTAATTCTGATTGCCACATCCGAGTGGTACCTCGAATGTTGGCAGTGTCTTATATGTTTCCAAATTAACTCAACAACTAAAGAAATACATGAGGTACAAGCAATCCAGATATGTTAGTTCAGAGTCCTTTGTTGGTTTCCATCATCTGCTGAGTGTGCTGTTCCAATTTATCGGCAAGCTCGGCGTCCTTTGCTGGACCACTCTCCCACCATGGTTCGCCAAAGCGGTTAAAGATGTCTAGATACGCACCACTCTGATCCGGTTTCATGTCTTCACTTGCAGCGCAGAACAAGCTGTTGTACGAGCCCTTGTCTGCCGACCAAAACATGCCAGTCATCCGTAAGACGGATATAAAACTAGTCATAATGAAGCCTGCCTTATCAACTCCGTCTGCGAGATTTGTTTCTACCAGGCCTGGATGTACACAAGACGTCCAGATCTCACCATCGTTGTTGTGGGCGCTGGGGGAACCTGGACCGTACGCCTTATGCAGGTACTTAGTGTGCAGGACATTGGCGAGCTTGCTTTGCCCATAACGGATCATCGGAGTAGCATCCTTCAGTGTCAGGTCTTCGAAGTTGATGCCACCATTTGGGGCGCTCAAGTGCCCCGATGAGGTGATGTTGACGATACGCACGCTTCCGGGCGGCAGAGTCTTGGAGGTGTCCAACATCATCTGCTTGAGGTGGTGTGTGAATACCCAGTGCGCCAGATAATTTGTCTGCCATTGCGCCTCGTAGCCGTCTTTTGTGAGCTCGAATGGTGTTGCCATAATGCCTGCATTGTTGACAAGACCGTGCAGCGCTGTCTCGAGTGTAAGAAAGCGTTGCGCTGCCGCAACAACGCTCTTGAGATCCTTGAGGTCCATTTGTAGAAGGTCGACTTGAGCTGCGGGATGCATCTTCTTGATCTCGGTTATGGCTTCTGTACCCTTTTTCGAGTTCCGAGCACACATGTACACATGCGCGCCATGTTCTGCCAGATGTGCGACGGTATAGTAGCCACTGTTTTTGAGCGAATTAGACAAATGCGACTATCGCGACATCCACGCGGGAGACTTACATGCCTGAGTTTCCTCCTGTCACGATGAAGACTTTGCCTTGGAGATCTGGGAGCGAGCTAGGGTGGAACGGCATGTTGGAGAAGATGTTTGATGAAAGACTGTGTTAACGGAGAATGTGAATCTTAAATGCTATAAAGTTAGACACGGCACGTAGTTTGTCCTATGCCCTATGTACGGCCGTAGCCGTAGAAGCATTGCCCATATGATGAAGATGTTGATGCAGGGCGTATGCCAACAAGGCGCAGCTGCAACGAGCGGACGAATCGGCCGGAAACCCCAGGACTTCTTCCTCAGCGACGCCATATACATGTGACATACATGCACGAAAACCGCTACGGACGAGTGAAGCGCGTAGAAGCCGAGTGGCATCGCGTAGCTGCATGTCAGCGCACACGATAGCATCTTACCGTCTCAAGACACAGCCCGTCAGGCAGCAGTTAAACCTAAACGCCGCATATACCTCTTCTCGAGCGGCGCAATTCGAACAAGGATGTATAGGACGAAAGCAAAACTTCTACTTAGCATGTTCTTAATCTTTTGTTCTTGAGTCAGAACCTGGGATATCTACGTAAACACGCAAGGATGGCTCCGGGTTATTGTGCTGAGAGCCAAGCTTTGCGCGACGACCAACTTTCGGGGGTGATCTCCAGATGTGCCCCGCTTCCATTGCCAAGGACCTTGGATTGAAGGTAACCCCTCATCGTCCGCTAGCACTTCCACAATCCGCGGTGTTCCAAACATCGTGTACTGCACAGTGCCAACGGCTTCTTACCATCACCAATTGTACTAATACTATGACCTTTCGCACTCGCCATCCGATTGAATCCGTGTGCATCCCTACGTACACATCCGTGACGATCAATTGCGTGCCTTGGAAACAAGCCATTTGGTTTTCAAAAAGGTGCGAGCCAGAACTCATGCGACGAGCTGGAGGCAGAAATAGCCCTGAAGTATGCCGGATCCCATACAATGTACCAGCTAAGCGACCGTGAAAGAAAGTCCTCTCGGTGACTTTTGAGTCTCAAGGACAAGGCAGGATCACGTCGTCGACGGTAAACCAGATCTTGAGAAACGTAACGCGACCAAAATCGTAAAAAGAGGTGGAAATAACAGGCTGAGAAGGTCGGTTCAGGGTGCGCAACAAGCTAATTCTAGACCCCAACCGGTCATCCTTCCATTGGCTAATCGGTTGTATCCACCTGCAGTGACTAACACCCAACCCCTACCTTGTCCTAACTTCTTCTATTCCACCCCATTTACGAATTGTGTGACTTGCGGACAGGAATTGATTGCGGCAAATGCGCTCCTACTGAATCACAGTCCGTTCACGGTTCTCGCCGCTCATCCTCAGGAGCTTGCGCCATATAAACCAACTACAGCGCCAATCTGAACTATCGAGCTCTTAATGGTCTCGTAACAGGGCTAGGTAGCTCGTGTTTGTTTTTTATGCATCGTACGTGCCGTCGGTGGGGTATGTTCTCTCCAGCATCGCAATCGGCCCGTGTTGGTCGGCGCTGACCGTACTCTTCCCTTCAATCTTCGTCTCGCCTTGCCTTGCTATGTTTACTTCTTTCTCGTCTTGTATGAAGTAGCTATGGTGAAACGTCTGCAGTTCATAGGGGTAGCGTTATGTAGCCTCGTCATTGAAACATCTGCGCAGAAGCGGGAGATATTCGAAGGTGTTTCAGCAAATGCTACTTACGATTATGTTGGTATGCTAATCCCAGTCTACAACTTCTCATTACGTTGCTTAAAGAACACTACCTAACAGAGCAAACTTTGGTAGTTGTCGGTGGTGGTACAGCTGGCCTAGCGATAGCGTCTCGCCTGTCCGAATTTGCATCAGTAGCGGTTCTGGAAGCTGGCGGCCGATATGAGCAAGACAATGGCAATCAATCTGTGGTTCCATATCATGGCCTCATTATGCCTGTGCTTGGCACAAGCGAAGCATATCCTCCCCAATCACTGATAGACTGGGACTTGTTGTCGACTGCGCAATCCGCCGCTGGCAATCGTCGCATACACTATGCACAGGGCAAAACGCTTGGAGGAAGCTCGGCGATCAACACAATGGCTTATCATCGGGCCACTGCTGGTTCATACCAGCGCTGGGCAGATTTGGTCGGTGATCAAAGTTATACATACGACAAGGTCTTGCCGTACTTCAAGAAGTCCGCTACTATCACACCCCCTGACCTCGCAAAACGCAATGCGCCGAATGCGACGGTGCGATACAACGACTCAGCGTTTGACAACGCTCTCCAAGGCCCTCTCCAAGTATCGTGGGCTAATTGGGTTGATCCAGCCCAGAGTTGGCTCGTAAGAGCATTGCAAGCAGTCGGGCAGAAGCTGAGTGTCGATGGTTTCAGCAGCGGTAGCTTGAACGGTGGAGCTTGGGTGCCCACAACCATCGACCCAAAACATGCGACAAGAAGTACTTCCAAAAGCAGCTATCTTGATGAAAAGGAAGGTAAAGGCATGTTGCAACTGACCATTTATCTGCATTCCCAAGCCAGCAGAGTGATATTTGACAAGGACAAGAACGCCATCGGTGTAGCAATGCTATCAGAAGGAGACGAGTACACGATATCAGCAAGGAAAGAAGTCATTCTTTCGGCTGGTGTGTTTCACTCTCCACAGCTTCTTATGCTATCTGGTGAGAAATACTCCATGATCTTTTGATTGTTTGTGTGCTGATTAGTGAAGGTGTTGGGCCTGCAGCAACTCTCTCGGAACACGCTATACCAGTCGTAGCCGATCTCCCCGGCGTAGGCCAAAATCTTTGGGATCAAATCTTCTTCAATGTGCTTCGCAGTATTACCGTCCCAAGCACCGGAGCATACCTCATTACAGCCATCCACCAGGCAATAGCTCTCCAGCAGTATTCAACAAATGCCTCGGGTCCATACAGCTCGGCTGGTGGTTATCTCTCTTTCGAGAAATTACCGCTGAACTATCGTGCGAACTTCTCGTCTCGAACGGAGGCAGCTCTATCAGAATTTCCGTTTGACTGGCCGGAGATAGAATATATCGCGACTGGTTTCCCTAGCGGGAATCCCGACTTCCCCACCATCGGCGCGATCAGCGGCACACTTCTTACACCATCCTCGCGAGGTAATGTAACGATTCTTAGCGCATCGATTTTGGATCAACCCATCATCGACTTGGGCTGGCTTACTGATCCAGCAGATGAAGAAGTCATGGTCGCTGCATTCAAGCGAGTGAGGGAAGCTTGGGACAGTCCTGCACTTGTTGGAATAATCGCCGGTCCAGAAATCGCGCCCGGCACCAACATCAATACGAATGCAGACATCTTAGCTGTGGTGGACTCGCAGGCAAACGTTTTCGGTGTACAAGGGTTAAGAGTAGTTGATATTTCAGTATTTCCTTTCAGTCTGCCTGGGCATCCGCAGGCTTCAGTATACATGTTTGCGGAGAAGATAGCGGACGAGATCTCAAAAACAAGAGAAGCTTACTAGGCGGGTATAACTACGTCTAGCCATGAACAGCGCAATGGAAGGACTATTGCTTCGCAGGTGAAATACAATCTGGGTGCGTTGAAGCGAGTCTTGAACGTTTTGATCACGGTTGCTCATGCCGTTCGGATAGTAGTCGGCGGATTCTATTGCATAGCTCCCGGATGAGCGATACGATCGTCTGTTTGTAGACATGCGTACCTTTTATTGCCAGTGGAATTTCCTACATCGATGAAATTGTGCTAATGACAGTATGCAGTAGATAGAGCTTGATGATCGCCACGGCGGCTGATGTTCACTCACGCCGGTAAACTGGCCTTACACTGGACGGCTAAACTCTCAGAAATCAATTTGAACAGCACTTTGATTAAACAGCAGCACTATCTGCTGGAAACGCGATTACAGTAGGGTTTCCGTGCATATTACGCCACCAATCGTAAAGCACAGCTTACGGATGCAAAGCTCGGTTGACTGGGTTCATGCATGATTGTGACCTGCGCATAAGTACGGCACGAAGTACGAGAGCACTCGCATTGTCGTGCAACGAGATCTTGCATCATGAGGCAGTACTTGTTTTTCTTTTTCATCCCACCTCTCGTGGTTGGCCATGGCTTCGTCCAGAATGCAACAATCGGAGGGAAGGAGTATGATGTATGTAAATAGATGCGACACAAAGCGGAACTGTTGTCACTAACATCCAGTTCAGTTCTATCACGTAATTAATCCGCCATCCAAGAGAAGACATCACAGTTGCTGACCGAGATCAAAAGCCTTATCAGGATCCCTACATGAACCCTGCTGTGGGTCTATCTTGGAAGCTGAGTAAACAACATACTAACAATGAACAGCCACCCCGCATCTCTCGCGAAATTCAAGGCAACTTCCCTATTGAAAACGTGAAGCTCATAGACCTTGAATGTGGTGGCAATACCACTGGCGGAATTATCGGATCACGGCCCGCTCCTTTGCATGCTCCAGCGGCAGCTGGGTCGACTGTTAATCTACGCTGGACAGCGTGGCCAGAGAGTCATCAGGGTCCTGTGATAACGTACATGGCGAGATGTCCTGACACTGGTGAGCATGTCCTGTCAATCGATGATACAAAGAGCGAATTATAATGAGGGTATTTTAAGGCTGCAACGACTACGTCCCCTCTTCTTCTTTGGCGCCAACCTGGTTCAAGATCGCAGAGGATGGCTTGCATTCCACCGACCCAGAGTGGCTCAAGAACCAATGGGGTATGACATCACTTATCAACGCACCAAATGCCGGCGTGAACTACACGATTCCAGCATGTCTGAGGCCAGGCTTTTACCTTGTGCGTCACGAAATTATTGCGCTGCACAGCGCGTATAACGAGGGGGGAGTGCAGTTCTATCCCGGATGCCACCAGCTAGAGGTCACTGGCGATGGCTCGACAGTGCCGACGGCGGGCCTGGTGAGCTTCCCAGGCGCATATGATAGTAAGGATGCTGGTCTTGTATACAGCATCTACAACCAACTACCGTACGATATTCCAGGGCCTGAAGTATTCCAGTGCGTAACATAGCTAAGGGAGAACTACAATAAAGATCTGTCTAAAAGGAAACACATGTTGAGATATACCAATATAACTTAGTACATGAGCAGGATTGCTTCTGCATTCGATCTCTACATCTGGAGAGTAGTGGTAGATATGCCTGTTGTCTGACCTTCTTCTAGACATCAGTGCCTGTGAACAGAATCTCACTCTCCATGTTACATGTCGTCAGAACTCTCAGCCCGTAATTGATGTAAGAAGAGCCACATCATAGTCGATCTATATTCGCTACGTAGACTTCTCACCCAGGCCCATGCTAGCAGATCCCATACACTCTGCCCATATCCATCATCCTGCAACCCCAACTCCTCTTTCCATCCAGCTCAAAACTTCCTCTGCCACACCAACCTTCCAACATCACCCACCTCCCGCACCGTGACCCTCGCCCCCCTCACCTCCTCATCGCCCAATAGATTCTCGTACACCTTTGCAAACTCCGATGCGCTCGTAACCCCATGCTTCTCCGCCTGCTCATCAACCTCGACCCGAAAGCAAAGATACACTTCATTGAACCGTACATTCGTCTTCTCGTTCTCGCGGGCTGCGGCCGTGCTCATGGTAAACAGGGCGCCTTGCGTCATGCCTGGTACAGGAAAGAAGGCAGTTTCGCCCTGCGCGCCAGTGCAGAGAGTCCAGGTGCTGGTGGGATGCTTCTGAGCAAGGAGATAGGGAACGGTGGCGCGGTAGGCGACTGCGAATGATTGCTAAGCAGAGGTCCACCCCTCCTCTTGTCATTGGAAGGACTGCGGCTTACAGAAATTCGCCTCAAAGGCAATGTTGAAGTTGTAGCGTAGTTGTTCCGTTGTGATTTCCGTAAGGGGAGTGGAAACGTATTCGCCGCCGACTGAAGGGGGAGAGGAATTGATTAGTGGACATGTGAGGATGGAAACGAGTCGATCGGGACTGACCGCAAGAGTATACGTGCTGGAAGGCTGGTAGTTGCCCTTCTCGCACCTTTTCGACGACACTTTGAACACCCGTGTCGGACGAGATGTCGGCTTCTGCAAAGGTGATCCCCTGCGATGATCCGACATGTCTGATGAGCTTGTCGGCGGAAGCTTGGTTTCGGACGATCGCTAGAACGTTGCGTTTTGAGTTGAGAGCGCCTTTCACGGCTGCTACGCCGATGTTGCCTGTGCTTCCAACTACCAGGACGGTTTCGGTATCAGATGATGACATGGTAGGCTATCTTGAAACGATTCTGAACAGCTGCAGATCGTCAAAGTAGGTACGAGTATGATCAACGTTGACGGACACTGTGCGTATCGAAATGATTTCTTTTACTTTGCATGGTGTTGACACTGACTAGATATCAGATTTGCAATGCTGCTTCTCCTTGCCAGGCTAACCATATCGTGACAAATCCGTTCGCGGTCTTGTCGCGTTTCGGCTAACTACAAGAGCGAGCTTACAAACACAGCGCCGAAGGATCGATCGAAGGAAGACTTCGACCCACACTGTTACCCCAACAAGTGGGGAGGTACTCGGGGCCACTCATGTTAGGACTTAGCAATTATAATGCGTGTGCTATTGTTGCATTAGGAAAAGCCTATAAGCTACTGTAAATAGGCTGTTTTTAATGCTTAATTAGCAGGGTTAAGATACAGCGTAGCTAGATACTTTTCTCTTTACCTCTAACGCTGTCTAAACAACTAATTTATAAATCGTATAGCATTTTATTTCTCTAGAACTATGCTCTTTATTATCTTCTACGTCTTAAAATATAACTTAGAGCTATTATAACCTATTAGCTGCAAAGCATAGCCTTTAACTCTTACTATCTTAGAATTATTTTTACTTTTATATACTACGCTACTCTAATATAAGCAATCTATAGAAATATATACTTAAGCTTAGTCTCTATAAGCATTTACTACTTAAAAAGCATTCTAGTATACTCTAGTAATAATTGCTTGAGCGTTTTTAATAAACTTTTCTTAATCTTATTTTTTAAAATAGGCTTAGTAGATATATATATAGTTTAAATAAAAATAAGAAAGAAATAGCTTATATTATATAGCGTAATACTAGTTATATAACCTATAATTATATTAAGATAAAGCTAATGTTATTAGAAGAGTTTTTAAAAGTAAAACTAAAGTTCTCTAAATACTTTTTAAACTTAATACTAAAAACAAAGTAATAAATAAGTAAATTTTAATTAATAGTAGTATAAACTAAACTTGTTTATTGCTATATTAGTACATATAAAGTAGCTCGTCTATTAGAAAAGATTTAAATAATTATATATTTAGAACTAGTAGTGTAAACAGATTTAAAGAAGTACTTAATACTTCTACTATATATTCTAATAAGGCTATTATAATAAATCTTATACTAAAAATAGTAAGTAAAACAAGTATATAATAACAAAGAGATACTAATATAAACAAGCTAAAAGAAAAAAGCAATAATAAAAAGTATATATATTGAAGAACAAAAAGATTAAAACAAAGAAATAAATTATAAGTACTTGTAGTAATAAAGGATATAAGCTTAAAATATAGTAATACTGTAATAGAAAAAGATTTTTTACATTACAAGAGTATAAATAATCCATTAAATATAGATACTACAAAGCTTTAGGAAAATAAGTAGAATAAATATTAATATAAGTTATTTATTATACTTGAATCTCCTATAACTTTAGCGTTTAAGCGCATTTACTTTAGTTAGTATATAGCTATTCTACTATTATCTTAAAATTAAAGCTAAGTAAAGTACTTTACTTTTTTGTTAGTGTGGATAAAATTTAAATAAAAAAATAGATTTTATTTACTCTTAATTATATCTATAAGAGTATAAACTCTAGGTTTATAATATTATACTTATATAACTAAAGTATTATACTATACTATAGTTCAGTAAAGGTTTATAGATATGTATATTAGATAGTACCTATAAAATTATTAATTATATAATTTAGCTTAGAATACTTATTTATAAAGTATTAGTATTATAAAATAACTAGTAAAGAAGCTATTTACTTACTTTCTCTAATATAATAGTACTAAGTAGAGTTAGGTCTTATAAAGTTATAGTATATATATACTACTAGATTAGTAATATAAGAGATATTCTATATATTAAGATATATTAAAACGTACAGAACTGTTATTATAAAGCATTTTAAAAATACGTTTTATTAAGTTTTCTTAATTTTATCTTAGTAAAGACGTATATATTATAAAGCTATATAAGTGTTATATTATAGAAAATAGTCAATAATAGAAAGAAAGATTTTAGTAATCAAAAGTGCTTAAAGACATTTTAAATATAAATCGAAATTAATTAAATTTTAGAAGTATATAGAATACTTACATACTTGAAGTTGTTAGTACTAGACATTAATATTATATCTATAACTATAGTTGTAAGTTTTAACTATTTCCTCTTTAACTTTATAAATCAAGTATAGCTTAATTATAGATCGAATATAATTATATTTTTAAAGACACTTTAAGTAGCTTAGCCTAGACTTAGTATACGTAAGCTTTTTTATTAACTAAAATACTTACCTTATATTACAGTAGACTGTACTTACTGTTATAGGTATTACTAACACTCTTTGAAGATAAAGTATTTTTACGTAAATTATAGCAGCTACTTTCTTATTAAGACAAGCACTAGTACGATTATAATTATAATTATAATCACTATTACTACTAAGCAGCTACAAACACTTATACCTTATTAGCTATATTATTTAAAGTAACTATATTCATTTCGCGCCTATATTCTTTTATTATCGATTTCTAAGCTATTTAACTTACTATATTAATTATCTACTACTTTACTAGTGTTTATATCTATGTTTTATTAAACCTTTTCTAGAAATTTAATAACAGTATAAATGAAGTCTAGCTAGCTATTAAATAGACTATTAAGAACGTCCTAAAAGTATTTATTTTACCTATTAGTCCTTAGGCTACTAGCTATAACTATATTATATAACTACTATACTTCTTTATACTAAGTATAAGTAAAAGCTTTATATTTAAGACTTTTTTTTATTCTAGCTTTTATAAAAATAGTACTAACAAAAAGAACTACAAGAGTATATAGTTTCTTACTAAGCTTATTTTTAAGCTCTTTTAAGCTTAATCTAAATAAGTATACTAACTATAAATAAGCTTATACTTAGTAATAGAAGTTAATTTTTAAGTAATTTGTACTAAGCCTAACTTAATTTTTACTATATTAATAGGCGGCTGTTAGCGTGTTATCTATATTTATTGTTGTTAGTATTACTAAATTAATAATAGAGCTCCTAATTACTAGGCGCTCTACTCCTATAGTATAGTTATATATAGTAACTTACTATTTATTAAAAATAAGCTATTTAGGCGTAGAATTTAGGAGAAAAATATCTTAGTCTATATTTAAATATCTTTTAAGGTTTATATTCTATCGTTTAGAATCCTAGTTACTTACTTTTAATTATAGTTATTTCTAGTAAAACTATATTCTTCTTCTCATGTTAAGCTTTATTATAAATATTAAGAGCTCTATAGTAGCTTTCTAAAACTATATAAAGATTATAGCTTTAGCTAAAACTAATAAATCTTTTAGATAAGTATATTTATAGCAATATATAGTAAAAGCTAGTAAGTATCTAAAAACATACTTCTACTGCAATACAATATAGTATAACTTAGTAGCGTTGTATTTGCGTCTTATTACTAGCATATTTGCTATATAAATAGATCTTAGAGATATAATTTAGAGCCTAAGATTAGAGAAATATAATTATAGTTTTTTTAGATAAACAAAAGATCACTCTATAGTATTAATTTTTTATAGCCTATAAGTATAAAGTAAAGTAGTTAATATAGCTGTAAAAACTAAGATAACTATAGAATAGTAATATACTTATAAAAGTATAAGTATCTAGACTCTATGTAAAGAATAAGAGTTACATTTTACTTAGTTTTCAAGCTAGTATATATAATTAGTATGTAATTTAATTTTGTTACTATGTTTTTGCTACCTAGTATTATCTTTATTCTAATAGTCTATTTAGTTATTAATTATGTTTTAGTACTTAAAGTAAATATCTATAACTATTATTACTTAATTATAGCTTCTATCGTTATACTACTAAGCTATTTTTTTTTGTTTCTTTAGCGTCTAAAGTCTTTTACTTTTATAAGTATACTATTATTCTAATATAATTCTAGAATTACAGCTTCATTAAGTACTATACTTTATACTTATAATCTATAATAAATTTATATTATAAAGTAGTTACTTTTCTTTTAGGTAGATTACAGTTATAGGAATTTAAATTTTAGCTTTAGTTTATGTCTTTTAAATTTATTAGTAGCGTAAGCGTAAGAATTATAAAACGTTTTTTTAGTGTAAAGTAATAATACATAGAAAAACTCAGAAGCTACTCTAATTAGCTATATCAAAAATATTTATTTTTCTATCTTACCTTAGATAATATTATTAATTATAAGCCTATCTTAAGAAAAACAATATTTACGCATTTTTAAATTTTAGTTAAGAGCTTTAAGATCTTTTAACTTATTCTTAGTTATAAATATAGCTATTTAGAAGAAGACTGTTAGAGAACTTAAGTAAACTAAAATAAGTTTATTATTAAGTCTATTAAAGCTATAAAAAGTAGTAAGTACCTATTTCTTATTATACGAGCTAGTAACATTCTCTTAACTATTATAATAGGTAGGTAATTATAATAGAGAAAATGTTTCAAAATTTATAATCAATTTACGTATCTTCTAATATTTTTACTATAAATTCACTTTTCTTATTATTTTAGCCTCTTCTTCTAAGATAATAGCCATAATAGATTTATATAAATAAAGATTACCTAATACACTTTATAATAAAACCTTTAGCTCTATCTCTTACTACTACAAACAGTTAAGGTTTCTAATCGTTATATTCTTATTTTATTATATTAAGATAGATGTAACTTTAAGATAACTAGCTTTACTACTCCTTTAAGCTCTAAGATAATTTATTATAACTATAATACAGCTTATATAACAAATTATTCTTTACTATTACCTCTTATCTTTTTACTCTCTAATTATATTTTAGAGTATTATAGCTATCTATAAGTATAGTATTTACTATACTTACTATCATATATATAAGTATACTAACAACTTATGCCTAATTTATAGATTAGATTTTAATTTTAGATTCTA